GGAAAGGCCAAATGGAAGCCATGAGAGCCGCCTCTGCCTGGGAAAACTGTGTATCAAAAACAATACCGCGCCTCTTGGGGGATGGCGTATATTAGTGCCACCATCGAGGACTTGAAATATCAAGGGTGGTGATCCCAGCACGTCCTCGTTCAACTCACCTGTTTGGCCTGTGCAGAAGACAGATGGATGCTGGGGAATGACAGTAGGTTTTTGTTAAGCTTAACTAAGTGGAGATTCCAATGGCAGCTGTCGTACCAGATAGGGTTTTATGGCTTGTGCAAATTCATGCATCTCCTGTACCTGGCATGCAGCTATTGATCCGCAAACGCCTTTTTCTCCCTGAGTCCCACCAGAAGCGGTTTGCTCTGAGCTGGCAAGGCCAGCAATACACCTTCACTGTCCTACCTAGAGTGTATCAACTCTCCAGCTGTGTGTCACAATTTCATTTGCGGGGAGCCTGATCACCTTACCTTTCCACACTATATCACACTGTTCCATTACATTGATGGTATTATGTTGATTGGACCTAGTGAGCATGAAGTAGCAATTACTCTGCACTTATTGGTAAGACATTTGCATGTCAGAGGGTGAGAAATAAATTTGACTAAAATTCAGGGGCCTTCTACCCTAGTGAAATTTCTAGGGATCCAGTGGTATAGGGCATGTTGAAATATCACTTCTAAAGTGAAGAATAATTTTTTGCATCTGGCCCCTCCTACAGCCGAGAAAGGGGCACAGCACCTAGTGGGCCTATTTGGATTTTAGAGGCAACATATCCTCATTTGGGTGTGTTCCACCAGCCCATCTACCAAGCGACCTGAAAAGCTGCTGGTTTTGAGTACGGCCAAAAACGGAAGGCTCTGCAACAGCCCAGGCTGCTGGGCAAACTGTTCCGCCACTTGGCCCTATGCTCCAGCAGCTCCAGTGGTGCTTGAGTATCTGCGGCAGACAGGGGTGCTGTTTGAAGCCTTTGGCAAGCCCCTCTAGGTGAATTGCAGCAGAGGACCTTGGGATTTGGGAGCAAGGCCGTGCCATCAACCACAAATCAATAGACCTCCTTTTGAGGCAGGGTGCAGTGGCTTACACCTCCAATTCCAGCAATTTGGGAGGCGGACATTGGAGGATCACTTAAGGCTAGGAGTTTGAGACCAGCCTGGGCAACATAGTGAGATCTCATCTCTAAAAAATATATAGCAGGGCGTGGTGGCACATGCCCATAGTCCTAGCTACTCTGGAGGCTGAGGCGGGAGGATCGCTTGAGCCCAGGAGTTTGAGGCTGCAGTGAGCTATGATCAAGTCACTGTACTCTAGCCTCAGCAGCAGAGTGAAACCCTGTTTCTCAAAAAAATGTATATATATCCTCCTTTTGAGAGACAGCTCTTGGCACTAGTAGTACTGAGCCTTAGGAACTGAACATTTGATCATGGGCCACCAAGTTCTACATAACCTGAGCTGCCTATCATGAACCTATCTGATCCACCAAGCCATAAAGCTGCCTGTGTGACCCAACATAAAGTTGGGTGTGTATAGTAGCACTTCGTCATCATATAGAAGTGTTATATCTGTGATTGGTCTTGACCGGGTCATGAAGGCACAAATAAGTTACAAGAAGTGTCCCAAATGCCCATGGTCCCCACTCTGGCTGCTCTGCCCTCTCTCTCCCAGCCTGCACCCGTGGCCTGCTGAGAAGTCCCATATGATCAGCTGACGGAGGAAGAGAAGCCTCCGGCCTGGTTTGCAGATGGTTCTGCACAATGTGCAGGCGCCAGCCCAAAGTGGACGGCTACAGCACTACGGCCCCTTCCTGGGACATCCCTAAAGGAGTGTCTTTATTTTTGTTCCTTTTGTATTCTTTTACCATGTAACGTGAGATTTATTGATTTTTATCAATATTTAAGTATTATGTATTTAAGTTATGGGATATCAGGAGAAGAGGAAACATCACCCAAGGACTTTACCTCTTCTGGGGAAGGGATTAATGAGTCTTGGTTGTACCAAGGACAGTCGTATCCTGTTAGGCAGAACTGTTACTTTGCTGCCGTCTATCTGGAGATTAAGTGTGGTATAGGAGAGGCATGGGGTGCTGACGAGGGGTGGATTTGTGATGGTGAATTTTAGGTGTCAACGTGACTGGAGTAAGGAAGACCTAGAAAACCGGGACAGCGTCATTTCTAGGTGTGTCTGTGAGGGTGTCGCCAGAGGAGACTGCCGTGTGGGTCCGTGGACCCGGTGGGGAAGATTTGCCCTCACTGCTTGTGGGCACCACCCGGGTGCTGTGGGCCCAGGGAGAACGAGGCAGAGGACAGTGGGATTCTCTCACTACTGCGTCCCAGGGTCTCAGCTTGCAGAGGGCTGGTCGTGGGACTTCTCAGCCTCCATCATCATGTGAGCCAATTCCCCTAATAAGTCCCCTCTCATCTGTCTGTCTGTCCTGTTGGATCTGCCCCTCTGGAGAACCCCGACTAATACAAGTGCACATCTGCCTCATTTCTCTGTTTACACATTTCACTGAGACAAGGACAGTCCTATCCATCTCCGCCTCTCCCCGCGCCGTGCAATGAAGGAACAGAATGGCTGCGGGATGCCTACTTCCCTCCGTTCTATGTATCACAAACCTCTGCGGTTTTTGTATCAGTTAAATTCTCAGCTTTTCCTTAAAGCTGCTGCAGCTCACAGGGAACAGTCAACTCTTCACTTAGCCCTTTCCCTTCCTTGCCACCCGACTGAGATGCAGTAAACAGGGGCTGAGTGGAGAAATGGATGGATCCTACGTTACAGTGTATGACCCTCATTTTTGCATGGTTGGCCTGGTCATCCTATGTAGATGCGTGCAGTGTGACGGCGGGGACCATGTCGTTCTCTTTCTTGCCTGTGGTACTGAGTCAAACCCAGGGAGAACCAGGGGACCAAAGGAGGCAGGTCTGTGGAGACCCAGCCTCGGTTCCCATTGCTGTCTGAGTTTCTCTGGTTTGCTTGAGTTTCCCCAGTTCCGGGCCTTTGCCTCTTGTCCCGCCACTAGGTGCGTTAGCGTTGCTTCTGGGAATGTGCAATGACTTAGCCTTGAAAAACCAAGAATCTGTCATGCTCGTTTACATCAGCGTTACTTGTAAAAAGTATTAACTTTTATTTTTTAACCTGAACAAAATGTACAGGAGCTTTAGAAAATCACTTTCTTTATCATTCTGTAATTTTGAAATAGTATGTAACTATTTTATTGTCATAAAATTGACCATGTTAACCATTTTTAAGTGTATAGTTACGTGGCATTAAGTACATTCAGGTTGTGCAACCACCACCACCGCCCGTCTTTGGAGCACCGTCACCATCCCAAGCAGAAACTCTGCCCATTCAACACTCACTTTCAATCCTTCCCCCCGCCCCTGGCAGCCGCCCTTCTACTTTCTGTCTCCGTGAATCTGAGCACTGTGCGCGCCTCGTGTAAGTGGAACTGCTCAGTATTCGTCCTTCAGTACCGACTCGCTTCCCTTAGCATGAGGTCTTCCAAAGTTTATCATCATTGCAGCATGGATCAGAATTTCCTTCCTTTTCAGGGCTGAATAATATTCCAGTGTCTGTATGTACCACGTTTTGTTTATTCCGCCTTTGGTGGACGCTCGGATTGTTGCTACCTTTTGACTATTAGTGTTTCTAAGAAAAGAAATATACTTATGACAACGAAACATAAGCAGATTGTATGTTGCCACATACTTCTAGATAATAACACACAGAACACGGAAAAAGATAATAAGAAGCAAAAGTTAACAAACCACAAAAACAAAAACAAAAACACTTTAAGCTCAAAGGATGAGCAGCACCATGTCATTCCATAAGCCTTTGATGAAGGCCCAGGACGAGACAGGCACACACCCAGAGCTTCCAGCTAGCCCTGGGAGCATCCTCCCTGGTGGGGGTGGAGGTTGGGCGGATGGAGGCTGAGGGAGTTACCTTTGACTGCAGGTAGGATGTGGTTGGTACCCAGCGGAGGTACACGAGTGGTCTCTAGGCTTTCGGAGGCAGGGAAAGAGGCCCTCTGGTTGATGGAGACTATGGGCAGGGGGCTAAGCGTTGATGGCCCAGCGATAATGGGGGTGGGGAGGAAATTTACTATGGTAAACTCTCTGTCTCCAACAAGTGTCTTGGATTTATTTGTTTGGCCTGGTTTTGTGTGTCTCAGGGCAACCACGCTCTGCTGAGCTTTCTGGAAGAACCGCTTCTCTTCATGTGATCTGGATCACAGCCCCTGGTCCTCTTCCACCCACTGGGTAGATGCGGACTTGGGACCCACTGTCTGCCGGGGCGGCCTTTGCTGGGTGGGGAGTGCACAGGCCCAGCTCTCCCCAGCTGTGCAGCCCTGGGGAAGCTCCTCCGCCCTCCAACCCTCACACGTGTAACATGAGGAGATTGGGTGACCTCTTAGACCCTTTCCAGCTCTGCAATTTTATGACCGCTGTCTTAGTCCATCCAGGCTGCTATAACAAAATGCTTTAGACTGGGTGATTTATGAAGAACAGAAATTTATTGCTCACAGTTTTGGAGGTTGGGAAGTCCAAGATCAAGGCTCTAGCAGATTCAGTGTCTGGTGAGGGCCCGTTCCTTGTAAATGGCTCCTTCTATGTGTTCTCGTAGGGTGGAAGGAAGGGTTGAACAAGCTCCCTGGAGCCTGTTTTATACAGACACTAATTCCATTCATGAGGGTGGCGGCCTCATGACCTAATCACATCCAAAAGGCCCACTTCTTGATACCAGATTGGAGATCAGTTTTCAACATATGAATTTTGGGGAGACACAAACATTCAGACCATAGCGGTTGCCCATATTTTGATTTAACTACCTCCCTCCAGCACTCTTGGGATGAATGACTCAGTAATCTGATAGTTTCGTGTTTTTCAGGAAGCTTGATTGTTTGCCATCATTAGCAAGTGTATGTCCAGTCGTGGAACAATCTGGAGTGAGGCTGCGACTGACTGGATTTCTTCATGCTATCCTCTTTCAGGGCACCGGCTGGCCGAGACACCCCAGGCCATGGCAGAGCTTTGAGCCAGGCCTGGTCAGTGGGAGGGGCTGTCACCCACTGGCCCTGCGGACCCAGCTCCACCATGCTGAGCCTGAAGCTCCCCAGGCTGCAGAGCATAGAGCAGATGCCCGAGGTATGTGTTCTCTTCATCGCAGGGCTTGTGTTGCAGGGTGCGACGGGGCTTGGCCTCTGCATCTGTCCTCTGGAAGGACAGTTGTCTTCAACCAGCCTGTGCTGCGCAGGCACATTGTCCTCAAGGGCCCCTCCCATACTCCCTTGGGGGACATTAGAGCCTCTTGCTTCCTGCCCCTGCACCAAACCTGGAAATGGAAGTGATCCCCAAACTGTTTTCGTTTTAACCCTTGCCCATGACATTTGTGTTTTACCCAGAAGCAAAGTCTTTATCGAGATTCAAGGTAAGAGATGAAGCCAGCAGCAGCTGGCTGGGTCGGGAGAAGTTTTTTTTTAGGACCCTCCTACTCCTATGGGTGCTTGAAAGCAGGCCATGGGCGAAGTCACCTGAGGGCATGGCTTTGCTGTTGTCCTCATCCCTTGCAGGCGGCTGGGCCAGGGGCAGTGGGAGGGTTGTTGAGTGGGCCTTAGCACTACCCTCCGGCAGACCTCTGGGCCTGGAACTCACGGCAGCCACCCTGAAATACACGGGACTCACGGACAATCTGCTTCCATAAGCCTTTGGTGAGGTCATTCTAGTTGTGTGCCACAGAGAATGGGTGCACCCCCTCCTTCCCTTGCAAAGAAAACAGTTCATTGCACCCCTGTTTTGATGTCATATTTCCTTCCTTTCTGACTGAAGGAAGAGTAAGTGTTGTTTTGTGGTGGGACGTTTCACCAGAGGATGCCACAGAATGCAGGAGTGCCTCCTTCTACTCAGCTGGTTGCCAAACACTTGCTACTTGCCCCAGAAAAGTAATTCCTAAACACGCTCAGCATCACAAATGGAAGATTAAGAGGGGGCAAGCTGCCAAACCCTAACGCTAAAAGCCTGCGAAGCCAGGTGGTTTCAGGAAGCTGGCGCTGGAGGGAAACCATCAACAATGCAGGGGTGTTTGGCGTGTTGAGACAAGGACTGGCAGGTGACAGGCAGACTGAACATGAGGCTGGTTCCTCTGACACTGTGAGCAGAGGACTGGCCTCTGTCCTCAGGGGGCGTCCACCTGTCTTCCTGGGGCGCTGCACTAGTCGATTCCCCCACAGAGCACCGGCAGCTGTGATTAGTGGGAGCACAGTGTGACTCTTTGATTCATTCACCCGTGAAATTTGTCCTGACTGCCTACCGTGTGCAAGGGGTTGTTCTGTGCAGGATCCAGGGAATAACTGCACACAAACCCCGCCCTTCTGCAGCTCCTGTCTTGGTCAGAAACGTTTTAAAATGTGCACGAGCAATTCTGGCATAGAGCGGGTTAGGGTGCGTCCTGAGAGAGGGAGAGTTTAGAAGAGGAGGGACCGCTCACTTCCATCGTGGGGCGGGAGGGACCAGGGAAGCCCTCACGAAGGGGTGAGCTGTGAGATGGGTTTTGAGGGGCAGGCAGGGTGTGAGAGGTGGGGAGAGCATTCCAGGTGTGAGCAAAGGCCGGAGATGGGAAACCCTGGGGCAGGCGTGGGGACTCTTCGGGGTAGGGATTACAGGTGTCTGCTTGGATGTCCCCCTGGGAGTTTTGGTCACGGGTGGGTTCAGAGCACGTCCTCAGGAAAGAAGCAAAGGAGACAGAGGTATCAGTAGGTGCTCTGGGTAACCTGCTGGGATTCCAAATGTATGGAGACTCCGAAGGTGAGGACCACACAACCCCTGGAGAGGCCGAGGGCTGAAGATGAATATGTCCTCTCTGCCCAATTTTTCATAAATCATGGGGATGATAATGTCCTTTTTAGTCACATGGCACTAGCTGGAGGTGGAGAACCACATCACACTTTGCACCCACTGTTTGCTTCAAAGCTTTCCTTGGGCCCTAGCATCCACTATTGGGCTTCCCGGCATCGTGCCCACGGTTCATGAAGCCGCAGAGAAAACACGGTGCCTCTGCCTGCCTGGAGGGCAGTTTTACTTAAGAATCTGGGGGGAAAGGCATTTTTTGGCACTAAAACTGATGCAAGTATATTTAAGATAAAAATGCACAATTTGCATGAATATTTAAAACAGGAGACTTCGTACAAATGTTAAGCTTACTTTTGCTGGGCTCCGAGGGTTCTAGTACTTGGTTTGCAGAATAACCTCAGACAAGAGACTCAATCTGTCTACCTCAGTTTCTGCATCTGTAAAATAGGAGTGATAATAGTATTTGCTTCCTAGGGTTGTCAGAATTAAATGAGAGAGCCCATGCGAAGTGCCTGGCACCTGGTGCACAGTTAATAATGTTGGCTGTCATTGTTGGTATCAACTCTTTTATGCCCTCGAGGGCGCTTTGAGGGGGACAGTGTGTCGGCTGGAGACTTTGAGAAGCCCTGTCCATGGACTCGAACCCCTGCTGCCCACCCTGGTGTTCAGCACCTTTGCCAGCCTGACCCCTCCCCACCTCTTCCACCATTTCCCACCCATAGACCCTCTTCTGGCCACACCCGTGGTGTCTTGATTCTCCCCAACACATTCAACATTCCCTTCTCTTGGTGTCTGTTTGAAATAGGCTTTCCTCTCCCCTACCCTGTGTTCTCCCTTTCTGGCTTCCTTTATGGAGCTGCAGGTGCTGGCCCCCATCCCTGAGCTCCTTCAGGTGTTGGTTGGACCCGTGCAGGCTGCCCTGGATGGCTGCCTCTCCTTTTGTATCTCAGCCAGCTGTGCGGCCTGGGCCACTTCACTGCCCACTCTGGGCTTCATCCATCAGTAGGGAGCGGTGTGCCCACCTCTCTGCATTGCCAGGGCTGTAGTCCTGGGGCATTCCTGGCCCAGAATTTGTTCACAGATCAGGGCGGTTTCTCTTTGCTTAGAAGGTAGGACTTGTGTATATGCCTCATATTTAGTCTCCTTGTGCCTGAAAATAGGCCTAGGTAGATTAGGGGATCATTAAGGATTTGGACAAACACCTCAAGGAATGGAATAAATATCCAATGTTGATTCCTCCACAGACCCAGTTTGGAGACAAAACAGAGAGGTCTAGACAGCAAGTTCATATGCAACACTGCATGACGCTTTGCCAGAAGCAAGGGCATTTTGTGTCAAATTGCTAATCTTTATGAATTACAGCCTTGACTTGCAGGCTACAGGTAAACATGTGGTCCCGGATGCCTTGTTTCGGAGCGCAGCAGGAGGAAACCTTGAGATGGTGGGTCTGTGTAGCGATGAAAAGCAGCGCAGTTCCCAGACTTGCACTCAGCTGTGCCGTGTATGCATAACCTCGCTGAGCCTTGGGGTCCTTATCTGTTGAATGAGGTGACTGCTAAGTCGGTCTCACAGGGCTATTGTGAAGATCCAAGAAAATGAAATAGAACGGTGGGATTATTACAAACACAAGGAAGCAAGCCGGATAAATGGCTGGGAGTGGGGTTAGGTAGGTGGGCTTGGGCACCCGGGAACAAGGAGCTATCTCAATAAGCAAATGGTTTCTCCAGCCCAGTATTTCTCAAAGTGGGTGCTTGGGTCACCGACATCAGATTCCCCCTGGAGCTTATTAAAATATGATAGGAGTTGTGATTGCAGGGCATCTTTCTATTGTTCTTGATTTTATTTTATCTTATTTTTATCTTTTATTTTTATTTCTTGAGACAGGGTCTTGCTCTGTTGCCCAGGCTAGAGTGCAGTGGCGTGATCATAGCTCACTGCAACCTCAAACTCCTGGCCTCAAGTGATCCTCCCGCCTCAGCCTCCCAAAGTGCGGGGACTACAGGCGTGAGCGACCGCACCTGTCCTATTCTTGATTTTAATTGAAAGAAATGCTTTCAATATTTCACCATTTAATATGTTTTCTCTGTGTATAAGTGATCTTTATCAAGTTAAGGATATTCCTTTATAATCCTAGTTTGCTAGTTTTCCTTTTAATTGTGAATTTTACAGAAGCCTTTTTTCCCGTTAATATCTCTTTCGAGACAATCATATATGATTCGTTTAAGTTGTTAATGTGGTAATTACATTGATTGATTTACTAATGTTAAGCCAACCTTTTGTTCCTTGTTTAAATGCAGCTTGGTTATGATGTAATATCTCTTAAATCTATTGCTAGAATCAGCTAATATTTTGTTTAGGATCTTTCAATCTATTTAATGAGTTGGCCTGTAATGTTTCCTTCTTAAAGTCAGCCTATAATTTTTCCTTCTTATACTGTCCTTGTTTGAACTTGAGCTTTGGGTTATGCCAACCACAAGTTGAGTCGGAGATTGTTGCCTATTTATTCTATGGAAAAAATTGCATGATATTAGAATTGTACATTTCTGAGTGGTTGGTAGAATGTATCTGAAAAATTGCCCAGGCGGGGCCGCCATATTTCCCAACCCCAAATGATATATTAATAGTTTGGATATTTGTCCCCTCCAAATCTCACATTGAAATTTGATTCCTGGTGTGGAAGTGGGGCTGAGTGGAAGGTGTTTGGGTCTTGCGGGTGGATCCTTCATGTATGGCTTGGTGCCCTCACTTCAGTAATGAGTGAGTTCTTGCTCTGTTAGTTCACTCAGGAGCTGGTTATTTAAAAGAGCGTGGGCACCCCGTCCTCTCTCTCATGCTCCCTCTCCCCAGGTAACACACCTGCTCCCCGTTGGCCTTCTGCCTTGATTGGAAGCTCTTTGAAGCCCTCACCAGAAGCAGATGCTGGCACCATGCTTCTGGTACATCCTCCAGAACTATGAACCAAATAAACCTCTTTTCTTTATTAACTACTCAGTCTCAGGTATTCCTTTATGGCAGTGCAAAACGGACTAAGACACCAAGGGAGCACCATTCATCTTCTTAGTCTACATGAGTGGAAACCTCTGGAGTTGGGCAGAGAACAACTTGGCCCCACAGCTGAATTTTCTTGTGGAAAGATTTTTTTTTTTTATTAACAGCTTTGTTGAGATATAATTAACATATCATAAAATTCACCCTTTAAAAGCGTACAATTCAGTGGGGTTTAGCTTGTTGAACACATAGAGAGTATGTTGCACAAAACCATCACCATGATCAATTTTAGAATATTTTCATCACCCCAG